ATTTCCTACATTTTTCAACCGATTTCAACAAAACTTCACAGGACTACGTAAAATTACCTTGCGGTGGTTCTGACAGCGCCAAAAATTGGAAAAACACAATTGTTTTTGCATGAAATCAATTTGAAAACACGATAAACCGATTCTGTCGCCAGAATGAAAGGGGGACAACTCATATCGAGTTATACATATTATAAAACCCAGGTTGTTTGTGTGTGTGTTCGTTTATATATGGGATCGGATTTCCTATATTTTGCAACCGATTTCAACAAAACTTCACTTTTTTTGGCAGGTAGTTTTTCCTATTGTCTTGCACACTTTTTTCTTTATTTTTACATTCAGAACGCTTTAAAAATTCCAAATTCTTAAAGACAATTGTTTATAATATAATTCTATTCAATCGATAGACTCATAACGATTGAAAACAATGTTTTTGTTTGAGTTTGGGTTTGACCAATTCGTAAAAAAAAAACCTATTTAAAACAAGCGTGTCCGTCAACCTTAAACAATAATCTTTTTCAATTTTATTTTTCAGTCTTTATGATGGTCGATACTTGACCTATCTCTTACTGTTACATCCCCGGGCAACGCCGGGCTCTACTGCTAGTATAAAATAAAATGGACTAAGTCTAACAATTATTTAATATAGTTTTTGTTTATATGTTATTTTAATACATACAATTTAAGGTCTTTTTTTAGTTAGACAGTATTAAATAAATTTACCGTCCTGAATATTTTTCAAGAGGAATCTTACATGTGTCCTTCACAGAAAAGTCATTTGATCTGATGTCCTATACTATTTAGCTATAGAGAAGCATCTGGTTAGCGACGTCCAAATTAATGATTTTAAAAATGCAATCTAGGCTGATTGTCCTCGATCGATCATATCTCCTCATGAAACGCATCTTAACGTAAACAATTACAATATACAATAAAATGGTCCGGCAATTATTTAATATATTTTTCTGTTTATAAGTTATATTAATACATACAAATTATTTAAGTAATGCACTGTTTTTTAATTATTAATTAAGTATTAAATACATTTACCGGTCTGAATATTCGAAAAAGATTAATTAAAAAACAGAGCATTTATTTAAATAAATTGTATCTATTAAAATAACGTATAAACAGAAAATATAATAATCTAGCAGCATGACCCGGCATTGCCCGTGCTTGATTCAAAAATCGTACGACTCATACAGCAATCGCTATCACTTGACTTAAAATATTTTTGCCCTTCCTTGCTTTTAATGGAGTGCCCTTTGCCGTGCTGATGTTGCTACATGCCTATCTCACACTGCTAATTTTTCCTAAGCTCTATACTAAACATGAAATCTGTTACGAAAAAAGAACTAAATAAAATGAACACAAAACGATCAGCTTTAAAAAAGGACTCGTAACTGGAAAAAAACAAATGAAAAAAGAATGTTAACAAAAAATACTTTTTCACACCTAACCCAGTTCTGCGAAATCAGAATCAACGTTGAGTTTAAGCAAGCGAATGAGCCAATTGGTGTAAAGTGCCATGCAGATTTAAATTTTTCCCACTTGTGACGAATGCAGCTATCGATTTTTTTTTGCTTGCTAGCATGCTAGTTAATATTTGTGTCAGTCAACTGTTGGCTCTCACGCTGGCAAATATAATCTTCCTGCCTATTCGTTACAGCTAGCTATTGGCTCTCACTCTGGCCAGTACAAAATGACCGCAAACTACATGAAAACTGCCGTGAAAGCATGAAAAAATCGATTATTTCCACAATCGATGGGAGTTGGGAAATGCAAATTCGGTCTTGGCCTTCCCGCTAACTTGGTGTATGTCATATAAATTTTGGTGCAAATCCGTCGAAAATTGCGACCGTGCATTCGGTACACACACATACACACATCCTGACTTATAGATAGAGATATATTGTTATTAAAGATTTTAGAAACATCAGTTTTTTTTAAATATATATATATAGTGCTCAATATTAAAAATATTAAAACAATATTAAATATAGAGCCTTAATGATATTATATGTAATGATTATTTAACTTAGTAAATATTAATTTTTATCCCGATATCGATGTTTCTACTAAGGATGAAAAATGAAATTTCAAATCTTAAGTAATCTTTTCATATAATATATTTGTATTATATATTTTTTGCGAGAGTTGTTTCAAAGTTAAAGAATTTACAAATAAAATCACTTGAAGCGTTGATTGTGTTACAATGTCAAAGTTTTAAAAATTACTTAAACTTCATTTTAATAATGAATGTTCTACTTATTTATTACGGCTTTTTCCTTTGTAGTTAATCAGGTACTTTCATCTGTTTGATCTTTCACATCTTTTAACTCCCTTTTTTTGATATACGTCTTTCTTTACTAATGAAATGTCTCATTCACTGTTTCTTGACTGCGTTACTTAATTTGTATTGTGGAGTTTATAATGCATTGTTTATATAACATTAAGCTTTTTTTTGGTCAGGCACAGGACTACATACATACATCTAATACCTAATGACATCCGTAGAAAGCGGAGAAAACTTATTAGCGAAGATTGAGATCTGTGGACAACAATGAAAAGATTAACTAAGTAATTTATGGAATGACTAAGATTAATTTGGAAGGTAAATTATGGCAGAGCAAGAAGGAAAGCAAGATCGCCCATATTCCAGAAGCCGTATTCATTGGTCAGAATTAAATGAGTCTTTGAGAAACGCGTTTCGTCCACTGCACATGGTATACATACATTATCACACATTTTTGTTATGTTTAACTCCAAGACATTTGAAAATTATGAGATAAAATTGGCGGAAGCTTGAACCGGAAACTCTTTAGATACTGTTTCCGGTTTCTTTCACACTTTCCTGTTTCTTTTAACGTCATTTCTGTCTTGAAAACTGTAGTTGACGACGACATAATTTTCTTTCTTATAGTTTCTCTGTTTGTTTTCATTAATATCTTTCTTTGATTTTTAAATTTTCCTCTTTAATATGATTAGCCTTTCTTCTTCTTTTTCTTCTTCTTTTTTATATTTCTAATATATCTTATTCGCAGGTGTAACTTCCACCTACTTTGACCAATATTAATTCCTGATTTAATTAGATCATTATATGACACTGGCCAACCAAATTTACCTTTTTACTGGATGATATCCATCTTCTGAATTTTATCTAGCTCAAAAACATTCATTTTTTTCCATTTCGCCTTTTAGCTCTTTATTTTATAAAAAATATATTTTCGTATGCCTTGGAAATTATTCATTTTTTTCTTTTTCTCGTTTCATTTTCTACTTTTGGGATGCTTTCTTCATTTTGTTTCTTTTGTCCTTTCATGTTTGTTTCTTTCTCTTTTTTATGCATGTTATTTGTCTATTTTTTTCTTTTTCCGATAGCAATGTTTTTTTTTCTATTCTCTTTCTCTATTCATTATTTATTTATCATTTATTTATTTCCTTTTTCCTTTCTCTCTTTTTCATTTTGTATTTCTGTTTGACTTCCTTCAATTTTCTTTCATTTGTTTTCATTTTTCCTCTTTATACGTTCGGTTACACATTTTACGCATATTTACGTTATCTTTCACTACTTTCCTCTTTCATTTTACCTCGATTTTCTTTCATTTTTTCTTATATTTCTTTCTTTCTTCCATTCAAATTAGCTTTCTTTCTCAACATCTTCATTGATCACTTTCTTCTTCCTTTATTCGACTCATTCTTTCTAAATCATCTGTTTATTTCTTTATTTCATTCTTTTTTTTAACTTTCTAATTCTCTTTCTTTAACAAAATCTCCATTGTGCAATCCCTTCATCCGTTATTTAGTGTGCTAGTGTTGAATTCTCTTCATTTCTTTTTTCTTTATTTCTTACTTTTTTCTTTGTTTTTTTTTCGTTATTCATTCCTTCTTTCTCCCTTTCTTCTTTCATTCTTTTCCTTCGTTTCTATTTCTCTTTCTTTCTAATTTTCTTTCTTTCTAATTCTCTTTCATTTTCAGCAGCTCCTTTGAATCAACCGTTCTTCATTTATTTAGCAAGTTACCGCTAAATTCTCCCTCTCTCACTTTCTTTTCTTTCTTTTTTCTTTCTTGCTTTATCTTTATATATTCATTCTGTCTTTCTTTCTTTCGTTCTTTCTTTCTTTCTTTCTTTCATTCTTTTTCTTTCTTTCTAATTGTTTTACTTTCTAATTCTTTTACTAATTCTTTTTCTTTCTTTATTTCTTTATTTCTTTATTTATTTATTTCCAATTCTCTTTCATTTTTAATATTTCTTTTGTGACAACTCTTCTTGCGTTATTTAGCACGTTACTGATAAATTCTCCCTCTCTCACTTTCTTTTCTTTCTTTTTCTTTCTTTCTTTTTCATTCTTTATTCATTTCTTCTTTCTTTCCTTCTTTCTTCTTTCATTCTTTTTCTTTCTAATTCTTTTACTTTCCAATTCTTTCTTTCTTTCTTTCCAATTCTCTTTCATTTTCACTATCCCTTTTGAGTTAACATTTCTTGCGTTATTTATCATGTTACTGCTAAATTTGCTATTTCTCACATTCTTTTTTTCTTTCTTTTTTTAATTATTTCTTCTTCACTACCATCCTTACTTCCTTCTTTCTTTTTACCTGTTAATTTTTCAGAATCCTTATTTTTTCCTTCTTTCTTTTTTTTCTTTCTTTCTTTTTCTATATATTCCATGGTTATATTTCTCTTCAGACATTTCCAACTATAACTTAGTTTTCTCTTTCTCTTTCTCTTTTGAGTTGTTTAATTTGCCTCGCTTCTTTCTTCCTTTCTTTCTTTATTTCTTTCTTTCTTTATGTCGTTCTTTCTTTTTCATCTTCTTTTCATTACTTCATCCTATGATAATTTATTTCCTTTCGTTCATTTCTTCATTTATTTATTCATCATTTTTCTCTTTTTATATATTATAAAGACAAATTCTCTATTGTAAGGATTCAAAACTGTTTCGTTTCCATGTATTTTTATAGCTCTTTCTTTCTTATTTTTCCTTCCTTTCTTTTTTAATTAGATGCTTCTTCCTTTTTTTTTCTCATTTCTTTTTCATTTTCCTGTGTTACTCCTCTGTTTATTTTATGATCATTTCTACCTTTTACAGATTACTGTCTTTCTTTCTTTTTTCTTTCTTTCTTTCTTTCTTTTTCTTTCTTTCTTTCTCAATATATTCATTCTGCCGCCATTCTTCTGTTATTTAGCGTGTTACTACTACTATTACTACTGCTGCTACTACTACTAGGATTGCTCTTTCTCTGCCCTCTTCATTTTGTCTTTCTTTCCTCCCTTCTTTTTTTCCTTCACGCTTTCTTTATTTCGCTCTTTCTAATTTCAGGTAAGACCTTGCTCATCCTCTTTATTTATTATTATATCATATTTCTTTCTTTCTTTTTCATTTTATTTATTACGCTTACTTTTTTCTTTCTTGTTTTCTTTCTTTCTTTGTAATTTCATATAAGATCTTTCTCACACACGTTATTTATAACGTTTTCTTTATTTATTTATTTATTTCTTTCTTTCTTTCTTTCTTTCTTTCTATTCCATTGCCTTTCCCTTTTTTTATTACCTTCGAGAGCAAACGAGAACGTCTGTCAGTTTTACTTAGCTGAATTTTTGCTCCAGACTCGAATCTCACTGCCTCGACTTGCACGTGAGTATGATGGGCGGTGATGGGTTTTGTGTCGTCACATGCAAACAGCAGATAAGCCGCAGCGTCAGCCGAACCAAACAGGAAGGCATTTGGCAGAGGTCTTGGAGAAAAGAGTGAAAAACTAATAAACGATTCTCCCCGACATTGGCGTCGACTGACTATCCAGACAGCTCCAATCAACATTTGCATTTTTTTTTCAAGTCAGACAACGCTTATTAAGAATGTCAATCTGGTTGTCAAGCGAAAGTCTCACAGGAATCTTCCCTGAGAATTCTGGAGATATTCCTTGTCAGTGTACCATATAAAGAAAACTGTCGAATCCAAGTGAGCAAATTCGGTTATTATGAGTGTGTGACCATTTAGAAAAGTACGTAGCGTAGCGGACTTGAAAATTTCACTCATAGATCCGGTACTCATGATGCATTACTGTTGGCTACAATCTTAACAAACAGTATGCTTATATATCCGATATGAGATATTGAAATTCTTTTAACTATTTACACATTTCCGACCATTTTCCTCATTTTTATTGTCATATTAACGACATTTCGGCCGTTGTACGATACGGCCTTCTTCAAGTCATATACGTGGAGTTTCGTACCAAACCCTTTTATTTCTTCCAACGAGGTAGATTGTTTTGGTTCTATGCTTTTCTAGATATCACAGTTTCAGTTATCTCCCTTTAGTAACTTAACATATCTCGGCTGTGGCCAGGTATTGAACTCAAAACTCTTTGGTCCAAGTCACTGCTTTACTTTAACCAATGCTTCTATATAAGAGGTCTGTGTCCTTGAGAACATAGCTGAATTATTTTGGTCTTATTTTTTACCAGAGCTCATATTACAATGTTTGTTATTGTGGATTTTCTGTAGCTCTCTATATTACTGGTATCCATATTGTATCATAGTTGCAATACTCCATCTCATAATTATAGATATGATAAATCGGGATTGAAGCTAAAAAAATCAGAGATTATAAAGAAAGTATTTAATATACTATAAAGTCATTAATATTGCCTTTCGAGTGATAAACTATCAAATGATAAAAATGCAAAGTTGATAGATATAACATGAGTTATGCAAAAACAGGCAATAAAATAATGTTAGTTGTATAAAAATAAATAAATACTATTAAAGAAAACAACAATAACAGCGGAAAAAGTTGAAATAAATAATAATAAATAAATAAATATGTGAAATAATATGTGGAAATTATATTAAATTATTAAATTACTTTTACTTAAAATCCGTTCGGTTAGCAATGTCGAATTTACTGTATTTAAACTTCAATCTTCCATGAATCTCTCACGTACATTCATATCTGCTCATCAAATGTAAACAAATGACGTCACACATTACGAAATGAATAAATTCCGACAATTATTTTAAGACATTTTTATAAAAAGAATGTATAAACATAAAAATCTCTTAGAATAACTGTCGGACTTTGTCCATTTCATAATGTGTGACGTCTTTTATTTACATTTGATATCTATATATAATAAAACATACATCCAGCAATTAACAATAAAATAAAATAGAACAATTATAAAAATATCATATGAGAAAACTTATGATTATTCTTGATATTCAGAACTGTTACTTAATTTAACATAATAATTAATGATATCAGACTTTTAATGCGGATAACCAAAAATACGGTAATGTGACTGATGTACCAATTAAAATATGATATGTCTTACTGTTCTTTTATCAATATTTGTTCGAAAATTCTATTATTATGACAAACGAAGATTAATCATCATAGACTTCATCATGAATCCTATGACGAGGTGTGATCATATGGTTTTTCTATCTCTCTTAATCAGTTTTCCAACAATTTACACAAGTTCGTTAGGTAAGCTAATTGCTGGTTTTCTCTGTCCCTATTTCATTCATTATGTCACGTGACGTTCAGATTCTCCAAGTCATCTTTTCTCATTATATGATATAGCAATTTCAACTGTTTCATTTTGATTCTAAATATAAATATATTTGTTGTTTCAATTTTCCCTAAAATTTCGCCATTGCTCATATGTTTAATCCATTTTATTCCGTAGAACAATATTTATGTTGCCTCAAGTCTCTTCTTCATCTGTGATATGATTGCCCATATTTTGCTGCTACACATGAGGACCGATAGTGGATAAAAGTTTAGCAATTCTGTCAGCGACACACTCTTCTCAGGCCTATGTCTTTAGTCCAGTAAGATCTTCTCCACGCGATAGTGTACCTGCTATATACAATATTATTGAGCCCTGGCTCCCACCACCGTGCTAGATGGCTGTAGAAGCTAAAAGAGTTTTCATTTGCCCTTTGAGAATATCTATTTGCAATCCTGCTTCAGAGAATCGTCATAAAAAAAGTCTAATTGTTTAACAAACTTCGTCATCTAAGACACGATCATGGGGCATGAATTACTTGGACATATGGTTTGCTGACGTTATAAGTTTAAGTTTTCCACTGACTTGTGGCACGTTTTCAACTGACTAAAGTTGCAACAACTACATTGAATCCATAGAGCATCTGCTTAAGAAAAGTTGGTTTACTGTGTCGTGCCTGAAGAGTCCATTTTACTCACCTTCAAATCCACCATTCGCTCGGGCATTGAATACTGTTACCATATTTGATCTGGTGGCCCTGCTGTTTCTCTCGAGGTTCTCGATAAAATCCAAAGTAGGATTTGCAATATAGCCGATCCTGACTTGGTGTCTCGACTTCAGCTACATTCCCATCGACGTAATGTGGCTTCCCTCTGTCCATTCTACAGATATTTTCATGGCAACTTCTCTGACAAGTTTTTTTTTTCCTAGTGTCCTGACTGCATGAATTTAAGCGTGCTACTAGATTGTCATCTAGGTCCCACTCCTTTACTGTTAAAGTAGATAAATTTAACCATCACTTCTACGCCAAAAGCTTTTGTGTTTGCACTTCCCGGCAGTGAAACTCACTTCCTCTTACTTGCTTCCCTGAGAATTACAATGATGAAAAATTTAAATTCAACGTCAATCGCCATCTTCAGTTTTCTTGAGCCCCGTTCATCTTTTATTCTTTCCTCAATACCCATTATTTCCAAACCTTTCTCTCACATTCATTCTCTATAACCTCCTGCGTGTTAGTGAAATGCTTAAAAAACAATATAGTTAAAAATAACAAATATTTTGTTTCTATTAATTTTCGTGACTGACCTTTTTAAAATTAATACCGTATTACTAGTAAAATCAAATAGTACAAAAGACTCATGATCTTTGAAGCAATCGTCATAAAACAAAACAACCGTCAATAAATAACACACATTGACTACTAATTCTTCAAAACCTACCACTTGTCTCTGTTTACCCTTATGGTACCTTCTGACCCTTTGGGCCGTAAGCGATTATGGCCTTCCGCATCTTCCTGTAATTGTAGCTCTTAATAAGTTTTGTCTCTTTATTATTTCTCGTAAACCCTGTTCTAGCTAGTTCAGACTCATCAAGTAGGGTACGCACTGCATTCCTATGTCCCTCAATCAGGTTTTAAGTCGAAATCTTGGATCATATTTTTTTATTTTCTGGCAAAATTAACTTCTGATAATTTCTGAATGTTTAACTCTATGAGAAGGATTATTCACAATGTGGAAAAAGTCGATATTTAAAACTAATCGACACAAATATATATGGTTTTAATAATATTTCTTTTAAAGAACATTTGCCGCTTAAATACGTAGAATTATAAGCTTCGTATATATAAAGGGTGTTCCAATAACTTGGACCGATTTTAAATGTGAATAAAGTTTAAGCGTACAAGGATTTTTTTTTCTTTTTCTTTCAGATTTAATAACTTAATTATTTGGCATTTTCAACCATGGAAACATTAACAATCAAACAATGTGTTAAAGTCGTCGAAGCCTATAACGAAAATGAACGTTCAAACAGAAATGCATTTCGCCCACTCAGCGAATTTTGTTCAACATAATTCATCAACTAAAGTGCAATTGGAAATGATGTAACGTTATTGTGGAGAGGTTCAATTCCTGCGCGCGATGATAAATAGAGGTGTATGGATTTCTGGCCACATTCTCGTGCACTGCAGCAATGTTTTCAGCTGAACGGCTTAAAGGAGCACGCAATGGGGATTTAACATCTGCTACCGACCCAGTTATTAGAACATCCTTTATATATCAACTTTGCATTTTCTATTCTCATCCATTTTTATCAACTGATATTTTCGTTAATTATCTTATATCCTAGTACTTTTGTTTACCTAACTTTATGTATGTATTTACAAAAGTCTAATAATCATTGATCACTTTATGTAAAGGGTGTTCCAATAACTTGGACAGATTTTAAATGTGAATTAAGTTTAAGTGTCTAATGATTTATTTTTATTTTTATTACAGATTCAAGAACTTAAGTATTTGGCAATTTCAACCACCGAATGGTTAACAATCAAAGAACGTGTTAAAGTTTCAAGAGTGCAATTAGAAAAAAAATGTTCGTAAATTCAAACAAACTGCGTCGGTGGCGGATAAGAAAACACCACCGCATGCTCTTTTACGCCGTTCAACTGAAAACATTGCTGCAGTGCACGAGAATGTGGCCTAAAATCAAAACACCTCTAGTCGACATCACGCACAGGAACTAAAACTCTCCACAACAACGTTACATCGTTTCCAATTGCACTTTCGGTTGGTCGATGAAGTTGACCAAAAATCGGGATTTGTGCGAAATGCATTTCTGTTTGAACGTCTATTTTCATAATAGTTTTCAATAACTTTAACACCTTGGTTGATTGTCAATCTTTCCATGGCTGAATTTGTCAAAGACTTAAGTTTTATATCTGAAAGAAAAATAAGAAAAAAATAGGCGCTTAAACTTAATTCAAAGTTAAAATCGGTCCAAGTTATTGGAACATCCTTTACATAAAATAATCAACGTTTATAATAAAAGTAATTCATTAAAATAACTACATTAAGAAATATAAATTGCCTGTTGCATTTTCTTTACTCTTCTCAGAAGTTCAAAATATAATGTCTTAATATT